GAGGGCAGTGTCACTGGCCCTCATATGTGGGATCCAAACCGGGGCCCTCTGGCGTCCCAAGCCAGCTCTTAACCAATGTGCCACTCGGCTGGCCCCACAGAATTTTTTTTAAGCAATGTTTTGCATTCTTAATATGACTGAAATAGGGAAGAATCTTGATTTGGCTGTATTTTTATAAAATGGTTTAGTTGATCAGCAATCAAGGCATACCTTACAACTTATCTAGTTCTTTCAAATCGGCTTTCTATGGTTCATATTTCCTTTTCTGTCCTTTTAAACCTGATTTGTTTTTTCTTTCTGTTAGGTTTTAAAGGCAATTGGTTTACAGAGAACTGGAAAGCAAGAGGAAGCCTTCACCTTGGCGCAGGAGGTGGCAGCCCTCGAACCCACAGATGACAACTCGCTGCAGGCACTGACTATTCTTTACCGGGAGATGCATCGACGTACGTTTCTTTCTTTTCATTGCTTTTAAACCTGAGCTTAAGTGTTTGGATAGTTCTGATTGAATTCTCTATTTGTCTGATTTACTTATCACTTATTATTTGACCTGGTGGAAAAGGTAAAATAACACATTAACCATGATTTCCGAAGACTGTAAACAAAAAGGATATGTTACATGTATTAGGATCCTTGAATTGGAATGAGAACTTGAGTTTCAATTGTACATTTTGATTTGCTAAGTGGAAGAGTTACCCTTTTCTTCACTTTTTAATATGGAAAATTTCAAGCAAAGACAAAAACAGAATAGCATAATAAATCACATTGTACCCATTACCTACCTTCAGCAATTAGTGACATGTGGCCAATTTTATCTGTACCCCTCCCGCTGCCAGATTATTTCTAAGCATATTTTAGATAGTCTTCTATTTCATCTGTAAATAAAGATTTTTTATTGTTGATTTCTTAAATATTTTATTATGAAATAATACATTTTTTTTAATAATTCGTATTTTAGAAGAATATATTTTATGTAACAGTAGACAGTTTGATGTGGCATAATGAACATTCATGAACCTACTGCCCAACTAAATAGAGCATTATCAGTACTAAGAATGCTTTCTATATTCATCAATTGCATTTCCCCGTTTACCTTCCAAGAGGTACCGTATTTGCCGGCGTATAAGACGACTCGGCGTATAAGACGACCCCCTAACATTTCCACTCAAAATACAGAGTTTGTTATATGGTTGGCTGTGTGCGATTTTGTGAGTGTGGTAAAATCGCATAACAGCAAAATTGCATAACAGCCGAGCATACACCCAGCAGCGCTGCTGATGCCTGAACGGTATGTGGAATGAAGTGNTTTTGCTCTTGCCTCTCATTTGAGCCTAGCAACAACTCTGTGAGATGGGTAATAATAATAATAATAATAATAATAATAATAATAATAATAGCTAGCATGTATAGACTACTGATTATGTCAGTCACTGTGCCCTTGGTTTTTTCATATATGGGTTATCTCATTTAATCTTCACATATTCTCATGAGGTGGTGGGTAGTTTTTTCTAGTCCCACCAACCCCCCCCCACCACCCATTTTTTTTTTTTACAGATGAGGAAACTGGGGCTTTATTGATGTGTCACGTGTCTAAAGTCAACTCAGCTAATATTTGGTGGAGCTAGGCTCTGAACCCCTGTGGACTGTCCCAGGCTCACCCTCTTAATCACTGGGCTAGAAACCACCCTCATTTTGAGCTGAAGACATTGACTTGCCAAAGGTCACACAGGTGGTGAATGGCCGAGGTAGGACTCTACCATTTCCTCAGGGCTGCATAGCCTCATGCCCTCCAGTATATAGTGTTTTCAGAGGGAAGGGATGACATGTACGTGGGTGATTGAGGGTAAGACCCGAATCCAAGGTTCAGAATTTGTGGCTCAGTACAGCTCTGTGCAGCAGCTGCCTGCGGACTTTTTTAACTAAAAAGATTTAATACTTTTAAGAATAATTGGGTTTCTGAAATTGTTCTTGAGGACCACAGGAAATGCCTTTGGTGTCCCATAAGTCATTTAGAATTAATAGTGTTTTGAACTATCCAAAAAGAAAAACCTTGTCCATTTCACATTTCTAAACATCAGGATATGTTAACCAGAAGTGACATGTCATATTCTCAAAACTGAAAGCAGAATTATGCAGCTTTTGTTATAGTTACATGGGAAGAGGAGTAGAAGAAGCTTTCTTTAGGAATTCCAAGGCGATTACTATAAACTGGCAGGAATAGGAAAAGAAAGGGTACAGATTGTCCTTGATTTGAGCACTTTTGACCTCCAGACTTGGGGATAGCCCCTGCTTTTGTGTTAAAATACATTAGTACCTCAAACCACTATTGTCCCTTGAATTCAGACATTCGTTAACTGACAGATGAACAAGCTCACCCCATGGTGGTGCTTGCCCACCAGCTAAAAGTCCAATGACTGTCAGCATTGAGTGCTTATTTGTGTGCTAACTATTCTATTAGGTGGGTAAGATGATTGTGTTGGTAGTGAACTGAAAGCCAGAGATTAACTTGCAGCTACTAAATTGTAGAGCTAGGATTTGAACACAGGTATTTTTACTGGAGAGCCCAGACCTTTACCAAGCTCAGATTCAGCATCATCACTATCTATGTATGGCGTTGTTTGTATTGCCAAGGTTTCAGGATTTTACAACTGTTGGAAATGTTGCCAGTGACCTCAGCTCTTGCTGAATATTATTGAGGGTAGACGTGGACAGGGCTGTGAGGGTGGATAATTGTGAAATTGTGGGTTGATGAGATGTGGAGGGTTGAAATTCTAGGTTTGGAAGAGCTTTTTCTGTGCAGAAATTTGATTAGTTGAAACATCTTGAGTGCATCTCATTACTCATAAATTGGTTAGTTTAGTTATTGTATTTTTGGTTTTTGAAAACCACCCATGACCTTACTAGAACACCTGTATTATTATTCTCCTTTTTCTAAAATGATTCCCTTGTGCTATGTGGTTCTCAACAGATTTTGTACTCTTGTGACTTGGTGGGCATCAGTACTTTCTTTTACCATTATTATCCATTTTAAAATGTTTCTAGTGGTTAGGGGGACCCGAGGGGTGGAAGTGATGGTCAGGTATGGCACTTAATACATTTGTACAGAATACAGGAATTGCTAGGTCAGCAACTGCAAACTAGAAATAGAGAAGTTTGAAAGAAAAAATATTCCCATAGTCTTTAGAACACACACACACACACACACACACACACATTTATATTACTTTTCTGGCACAAAATCCTTTTTTTTTTTTCTAATCTGTCTTATTAGCTTTTAGTTTCTCACTCATCTGGATCAGGTGTCACACATATCCAGGAGGGTGGCTTGCTCAGTCATTCAACAGATTTTCATAGTCCATTGCCAATGATTTAACCCAATGTTTTCCAAATTTCTATCATTCTTTTTTACCCAATCTGATGATTTTAGCTTTATTATAGTATTATCTGTATTGTTATTTACTTAATATTTTTCTGTAAGCTGACTTTTAAGCTTCAATTTATGTAAAAACAATCTATAGGGCCGGCCGAGTGGCGTGATGGTTAAGAACTGGCTTGGGACGCCAGAGGGCCCCGGTTCGGATCCCACATATGAGGGCCAGTGGCACTGCCCTCTACAGCTAAGATG